AGTGAGGTCCCTCTTGGTATTTTTTTTTTAAAGATTTATTTATTTATTCATACAGAACTGGGGTACAGGCCAGAGGTGCAGGGACAGTGAGAAGATCACCAGACACAGAGTGGGGAGCAGAACAGGCAGATTGACGAAGTACAATGCTGAGGGGAGCAGCTGGCAAGTCAGGAGAGGTCTGCCGCGCCATGAGAGACATCTCCGGGTCAGGCGGGGATTGAACTCAGGGTGAAGTGGCTTTTGCTTCTTAGGTTCTGTGCTTTAATCTGCTGCACCAAGGAAGAGCCCCTGTTGGTATATTTTAAAAGAAGAAAAAGCAAGATTTTCAATCAGATTGTACTTGAACTATGAGAAAAGCAGAGGAACCAAGATGTCCCCAAGCTTCTTGATTCAAGTTGAATTAATGGAGTTAACTTGATTAAAACGGAAATCACTGAAAGTGGATTAGGATTCCAGGGAGTGGATTATGATTGAGTTTGGGGGTATTTTAGAACTCAAGTGACATTGCACTATAACATTATTTGAGTGTCAAGTATACATCAGAGTTTGGCAGTTTTAATTTTGATTTATTTTTCTTAGTAAAATAGAGATTAAATGAACTGGAGGTATAATCTTAGAGATAAAAATATGGATGTAATCACTGTTTGGGTGGTATTAAAACACTTGAAATTGGATTACTGAGGCTGGACTATATAAACCTATTGGAGAAAAAAGTTCTCAGGATTTAATCTTCAGTGACTCAAGAAGAGCAAGGTTGAGGAGAGACAGGGAGAAAGAGAAGGAACCACGAAGAAAACTCAGGGAAAGATGGTGTCCTGGAAGTCATGAGAAATTTTCCAAGGTGGCCAAGGTGGACAGAGCTCCTGATACTGCAAGTAAGATGGAATTGGGGGATCAATAGATAATGCAATGTTAAGGATTAGAACTTGTGACTTGCACAGAGGGCATCTTTACACAGCATATTTCCTGAATTGGGGGTGGGAGGTACTACGGAGGGGAAAAACCTCAGAAAACTTGCTTTTAGGACAAAGAGAAATTTAGGATATCATTCATTCACCAATTGTTTCTTTAATCAAAATAATCAGTGTTATTTTACCATGACCTAAGATCTGACAATAGCAATAGAAAGATTGGGAATGTTTTCTCTCTGGTATTTTCAGTTTTTTTTTTTTAATGTAATTAAAATCTGCATCTGTTGAGATTAATCCAGATAATCAGCTCACCTGATTAAATCAGTTCAGGCTTTAAGAGTAGATCTGAGGCTTCTCTGAAGAGAAAAACACCGGAAGTGAAGGAAGCACCTTCCCTCCTTAATGAAGAGGTACAGGCTTCCTTTTCTGTCCCTGGCCAAGGATTTCAGACTTGCCCAGACAGTTCCCACAGCACTGTAAGCCTGCTCCTTAATATAAGTCTCTTAATATGTAGCTTCTACTTACTGGATTTCTTCTGATTGAACCTTGACTGATAATGCAAGATAATTAAACTGGCCCCTTAGAATGAGTTGGGAAATGTTCCTTCCTCTGCTATTTTTTGAAGCGTTTGAAGGATTTAGTTATATACCTCATAGAATGGTCATTTATAACTTACTCGTTTTAAGGTTATTTTATTAGTTTTTTTTTTTTTGGCTAAATAATGTGAGAAGGAAGTGTATTAATTTCAATGTACAGCCCTTTTCCTTTTATATTCTTTTATATAAATGTTTTTATATTTACATCCAAAAGTAAATTAATTTTGATCTTTTTTTTAATGCTTCATCATGATAGATTCTTTTTTTTTTTTTTAAGATTTATTTATGCATACAGAACTGGGGTATAGGCAAGAGGTACAGGGGCAGTGAGAATTCACCAGAGGCAGAGTGGGGAGCAGAATAGGCAGCTCGATGAAGTTCACTGCTGAGGGGAGCAGCGGGCGGGTCAGGAGAGGTCTGCCACGCCATGTGGGTCACCTCTGGGGCAGGGATCCAACTCGCACTGAAGCGGCTGCAGCTTTTAACCCGCTGCTCCACCCGGGGAGCCTGACCTGTTCTTTTTATGAAAATCTTTGTTAATTTTGGTAACTTTACACATACAACATTGCTGCTTTATGAAAATTAACTACTTTCCCACAATGAAAAGTATTGATTATGATCTAAAAGTCCAATTTAGCTGCAACTTAGTTTTATTTCACAGATCCTGCTGTACAGAAACTAGCAACAATGCCTGGTGAAGAAGCCCCAGAGCCATCAACGAGGCATCGCAGCAAAGAGAGAAGTGGGACTAAGAGATGTACAGAATGGGGAAGAGAAGAAAAGGAAGAAAAACTAGAGGCAGAACAAAAAGAAAAGAATGGCCAGGTGGAGCAGTATCCACAGACTAGATTAATCAGTAAACCCCTCATGAACACTCTCTGGACAAAATTTAAGTTAAGGAAATATCTCACAATAGGAGATAGATTATCACTTGCATTTGAGTTCAGCTTAACAGATAAACAGGTATGAAAACATATTTCTTCTTTAACTGTCACTTGTGTAGTATTATTACTATACCTGTATTCTGTATTCCTGGATAAATCACCTCTTTCCTTTTTTTTTTTTTTTTGGTAGATAAGTCAATGGTTTTGTGAAAAGAGAGAGAAATACAAGGAAGAAATATACAAGCAGAAATATAAGAAGAAGCATAAGAAGTAAGAATGTTTTATTAATATATGTAGTGTATCATACTAAATTGTAATATGTTAAGTGATAAATAACAACATTTGGAGGCAGACTGGACACCCTATAACTACTTTTTTTTTTTTAAGCTTTATGCATACTGAACTGGGGTACAGCCAGAGGGGGGTGGGGGGGATGATAGGACTCACCAGAGACAGAGTGGGGAGCAGAACAGGCAGATCAACTGAAACACACTGCTGAGGGAGCAGCAGGAGAGACAGGAGAGGTGTTATTCCATGAGGGTCAGCTCCCTGGTGGGGGATAGAACTCTTGCTGTTCAGAATGTTCCACTTAACCCCTTGTACCACTAGGGAGTCCTCTTCTGCCTTGTTTTTCACTCTACTCAGCGCACCAAAATGCAGATGCATATTCAGACATGGCCTCAGTTTACCGTGAAGTCTTATTACCAAATGTACAACTGCCACCATTAGGTTGTTATTGATTGCAATATAATAATTTTGTTCTTTTTGTTTTTAGATGTTGAATACATTTAAAGCTTGTCTTTTCTTTCTATTGACAGAACCTCATGTGATTGGAAAGAATTAAAGTAAGAACAGGATCAACAGTTTTAATAGCACTGGACTGTATATAGAATTTTATATATTATTTATGTGCATTTATGTTAAGTTTTTTATGGATGACCTCACCTTAGCATCATTGTAAACTAGAAATTAAGAAACCGGATTGCTGGAAAATAATGTGATTTTCATTTCAACATATATTAGTACCGAAAATGCCTAAGTTTGAATTTGTACTTTCGTGTCTCAGCTACAAATGCTCTGTATTTTCAATTGTGACCTGGGAAATATCCTAGGCAATCTCAGTTTGTGTTTCGTAAGTATGGCTTTTGCTAGTGTTCTCTATTAAAATTCCAATGTGAGAGTATTTCATATTTCTTGCATTCTCTTCGCCTCGGTAAACTCTTTATTCCTTGCAATTTTTAAATGTGTTTTAAGAGGGTTCTCTTGTTCTTCAGTGGAAAGTGTTTCCAGATTTAAGATCTTTTGATATAGGTTGAATACGGGGGCTGTGTTGTGATGCCATTTTCATGGGTAATTGGAGTTCTGAAAGGACAAAAAATGTTCATAATTGTCCATTCTGAGCTAAACTGGTTTGAGAAACATGCAAAAAAGTTCCTGGGTACTCTATTTTGACCTCACGGTGGACTGGAAGTTTTGATAAGTTCATTGATCTTATTTGTGAAATCAATGAAGAAAGTACAATTCTGCATAGAACTTCTCAGAGACTGATGGGAAATCCAGAGTAGAATCTAATGTGTTTAGCGCATCCTACCTCTCAACAGTCCCCTCTGCCTTTTCTCTACATGCCTCACTGTGCTCCAGGTGAGATGGTTTTTGTGTGATTTGGTTGATTTATGGAGAGGAACAAGATTAGGTTCCTGACAGAGGGATTTGATGGGCCATGAGGGAGGAAGGAAGGGAAGGGAAGGAAGATGACACAGTGGACATGAGAATGAAATAATGAATTAGGGCTTCCCTGGAGGTGCAAGGGGGTTAAGACAGCACAATGAAGCTGTCTGCAGCCACTGCAACATGAGTTAGATCCCTGCCCTGGAGGTGACCCACATGGCCCAGCAGACCTCTCCTGTCTCACCCATTGCTCCCCTCAGCAGTATATTTCAGTCCATCTGCCTGTTCTGTTCTCCCCTTTGTCTCTGGTTGTTGAGTAAACAAGGAACAGGAATAAAAATGAAGACTGCAACTGAATTCGTAGAAGCTGTAGCCCAGGCTTGTCCTTGGTTTCTGACAGGAGGAATCTTAAATAATGATTGGGACCTTCAGAAACTCTTGAGGGATAAGGGACCAGGTAGTGTACCTATTGCCACATTTTCCCTTTGGAGGCTGGTGAAAGATGCACTTTTGACGGATAAAATTAAAATTAAAGAACAATTGGCTGAATGCGAAAATGTTTTTAATGAGGTTCAGGAAGAACAGGTAGCTACGTCCTTGAAGGATGAGGACTCTGATTGTGAAACGAAAAGGAAGACCAAAAGGTGCCTTCGCGCGCCCACCCCGATAAGGGACACAGAAGGCTCCACCTCTCTCTCAGAGGAAGAGAGTGAATTGGAGAAGGGAATAGAGGAATTGGAGGGTCGTTTAAAGAGAGTGAACCCCCTTGCTCCGGGATCCACCTCTCCGATGACGACCGCTCCACCTCCTTATAACCCTGGTTGGGACCCTGGTAACCCCCGAAAAGAGGGGGAGATGTACCAGAATTGCCAGGGACCGCATGCATTGTTAAATCTAACCTTGTTCACTTTAAATTTTTTCCTTGTTGATGCTAACAACCACACAGCGGCGCAACCTCATTTTTCCCCGCCCACCATACAAAGGGCGCGAATCAGATGGAAAGATCTGGCTTCAGGGAAATGGCAGCCTCCTGCACCAATTCTAGCTAGGGTGAGAGGAGCTGTATGTGTTTTTCCCCCAGGAACTGAAAAGCCTATTTGGGTCCCGGAGCGCTGTACCAGACCAGTAGAAGAAAGCTCGAGACAAAATGAGGCTCCAACGGTGGCTGATCCCGTTGCTGATATTTCCAACCCTTCAAGCGAATGCCAGGTCACGCCTCATGCGCTGGACCCCGCTGACGACATTCCTTCTGCACAGGTTCGTTGAAGGAGGCTTTGGCCCTCCACCTTCCAATCTCAGGAAGCGTCTTTTTGGCGCCCCCTGTAACTGCCAGGGAGGGTTTTGGGGGGAGGCTCCCAGTAGTTATACCCAGACTGTTGATTGTTCAACTAAGGTGGCTTACCTCCGTGCTCAAGTTAACTCTGCTACCGGGGGCTTTCACATGCCCGAGTGGGTTTGTGTTAACAAACCAAAAATCATTTCCGCCGGTACAAACAGCATCCCCCAGAATTGTTCCACACCCTGTACATATACTCAGGCGATGCACGTTTCCTGTTACGCATCGGCCTCGATCTGTATTGGGCAGGGGGGAGAAAGGTTCTTTGAGGCTATTTTAACCAAAAACCATACAGGAGGGGGCTCCACTGTACATCATACCCCCCTTCTCTTTGGCCAGGGAGCAGGCATAGCTACGAAACTGCAGTTGGCAGGATGCCAAGGCAGTGTTGGCAAACCTTCCTGCTGGCCCATCAAGGCCCCTACAGGGATCTCAGATGGTGGGGGACCCACTGATGCTGTCAAGCATCTGCAGATAATCCAACTCTTAAAACCGTAGCTCCCTAAGTTTATGTATCATCCCTTAGCGTTGCCAAAATCCCAGCTTCCTGATCTGGATACTAATACGTTAGGCATCCTAGAAACTACCTTCTCATTACTTAACAAATCCAACCCTGCCCTCGCTAGCGACTGCTGGCTCTGCATGGCGGCGGGAGCCACCATGCCACTCGCAATTTACACTAATGATACCATGAAAAATGAAAGCATATGCCAGGCTGGATTACCTTTTAAGGTACAGCCCCTGGGCAATCTCTCAACATGCCTCCTAGGCGTGAAACAGAATAATTCTTATGATGTTGATGTTGGGGCTCCCCTCTCTGGAAACTGTCTATTGGTAAAAAATTATTCTTCCACAACTCCATCTATTTGTCCCCCTAATGGCACAGTCTTCGT